TCCAGAGGAGCCAGAATTTACAGTTCCAAATTGCAAAATGCAGTCCGTTTGTCCCTGTACAAAATAGAATTCGGCTATTTTCCTTTCTTCCTCTTCTTCTTCTCTCTCTCTCTCCCCCACCCCTTTTGGAGGAAGATGGATTTTAGTGGTTCTCTAACTACCATGGTGATGGTGCATGTCTTCGTATTTCTTTTTTGACAGTGGTGAGGCGGCTGTGTAAGAGGCAGAACGGCGCGGCGCGGCGGAATCAGAGCTATAAGCCGATGGCCCACACGCTGACTGCCGCGCACCGCCGCACAGTGGATCGAGTCAATTAGAGAGGTCGGACATGAAAGTTTCGACTTAAACTGCAAATTTTTGATGTTTTTTTCGTCACATTTTAAATTTAAAGAGGTGTCAGCTGAAGAAAATTTCACAAGGAATCCAATGGGATCACTTTTCAAACCTGAAAGTTTTGTATAAACGAGTTGTAAGCGTTTATAGATTCCAAATTTTGTCCGATCTCTCGTAATAACTCGATCCACTGTGTGCCGCGCCGCACCTGAGGATGGATCTCCTGTTGGTCCAGCCGGGAAAGTTATGTAACCCTGCTCAAGGTCATGCATGAGGCATGCCGGGTACGAGGAATGATTTGCTCTAACGCACAGCCTGAACAGACTAACATGTATAGAGACTACATCATTCGATGTATGGCCGTGTAATTGTCCTGTTCTCAAAAAACGCTGTAAAACGATCTAAGCTGTTCGTTTGTCTTGAGTGGAACCATCGCATATCGATTGACATAGTTACTAAATTAGAATATTCTAGCCCTGAGTCATCCCGAAATCAGCTCAAGATCCTGCAGACTAGCGACTCCACTCCAAACTATGCCACGGGGAACTCCTTCAACGCACGGTGAATCAATTGTTGCAAGGGAGGAAGGTATTCCAAAGAATAAAAAAAGGGTCATTTGATTTAGGGATGACCTGGATTCGGGATAACTTTAGGAATTTTCAATAAACTACTCTCAGAGTATCGGTCCAGTGGTCATCAGCTCATTAAAGTCAGACATGCAGACGAATTAAACCGGCCGCGTGGAGTCGTGTGGGTGGTGAGTATTGAATAACAATTCTCATAATCAGATCACGGTTCACTGTCCGCACGTTGAAGGCGTGTCCAAGTCGGTCACTTGGACAGATCGCCATCGCTTTGTCGCCATTAACGTCTTCCTCGTGTATTCCTCACATTCGCGGAGCAGAATTTCGAAATCTTACGTTCAATTACAAGTCGAAATGAAGATCGTGTAGGAGAGACAGGCCACCGTAGGGTGCGTCAAAAAAAATGAAAGTCTGAAATGTTCCGCTCCCCAGGCGGCAATCGATGACGTTTGGTAAAAAAACATGTTTGCCAAAATTTGGGCCAATTTCAACCATTTTAAATGGTGCCAAAGGTCAATTTTGTGACGAAATTATGATATTTTGGTTTAGACCTCGATTTCGTACAAAAAACTCGATTTTACGCTGAAATCGTGCGTTTACGAGAAAAATGCCAAAGAACTCGACTTGTAGAGAATGAAATTTTACATTAGGAGGACGTCTTTGTAACCGATAAAAAACAAATTGAATTAGAAAAACTCAACTCGGTATTTATTTTTTTGGTCCTCAGAATTTCCGAGGTCTTACAAAGTAGAGGTTTAAAAGACTCATTTTTCACGAAAATAAGTCGAAAGAGGGTATAAATGAACTGTAGGCAAGTGTTGAGGATGCAAATGTCATCAGAACTTCCTCAGTTTCAAAAAAAGTTCCAACTATTTTGTACAATCCTCCAAAAAGTGTACGGCTCGAGAAGCAGGCTCGTGCTATAATAGTAAGGGGAAAGTGCGGTTTGACCGGGAAAAATTGCGTTACAAACTTTCCCTACCTATGTAATCGTCATCAGTAGGTCCTCCTGAACAACTTCCTAAAAGTTAAAAATGGCCCGACCCCGGAACACCCCTCAAAAAAGTTAAAATTGAAAATGGCGGCCGTAATAAGAGGGTCCGGGAAATCGGTATTTTAAAATGCCCATTCTGTCTCATCATGCGAGGTATCATTTCCTATGTTATTTTGGTCGTAGATTTCATAAATGAATTCCGCAAGGCCCTCCGGCCAAAGGGGGCGCTCCAAATCAAAGATGGCGGCCAAATGTGAAAGGCAGGAGGTTGCATTTTTTTAAATATTCACCGAAGGAACAAGGAAAGTGAAGTGTCTTTATTTTCATGTATTTATGGCCAAGAAACTTAAATTTGATGTTATAAATGTATTTAATAAAGGAAATTTAAGGAAACATACGACTATCGAGAAAAACGTAAGCTCAGAAGGGGCCTTGCGGAATTCATTTATGAAATCTACGACCAAAATAACATAGGAAATGATACCTCGCATGATGAGACAGAATGGGCATTTTAAAATACCGATTTCCCGGACCCTCTTATTACGGCCGCCATTTTCAATTTTAACTTTTTTGAGGGGTGTTCCGGGGTCGGGCCATTTTTAACTTTTAGGAAGTTGTTCAGGAGGACCTACTGATGACGATTACATAGGTAGGGAAAGTTTGTAACGCAATTTTTCCCGGTCAAACCGCACTTTCCCCTTACTATTATAGCACGAGCCTGCTTCTCGAGCCGTACACTTTTTGGAGGATTGTACAAAATAGTTGGAACTTTTTTTGAAACTGAGGAAGTTCTGATGACATTTGCATCCTCAACACTTGCCTACAGTTCATTTATACCCTCTTTCGACTTATTTTCGTGAAAAATGAGTCTTTTAAACCTCTACTTTGTAAGACCTCGGAAATTCTGAGGACCAAAAAAATAAATACCGAGTTGAGTTTTTCTAATTCAATTTGTTTTTTATCGGTTACAAAGACGTCCTCCTAATGTAAAATTTCATTCTCTACAAGTCGAGTTCTTTGGCATTTTTCTCGTAAACGCACGATTTCAGCGTAAAATCGAGTTTTTTGTACGAAATCGAGGTCTAAACCAAAATATCATAATTTCGTCACAAAATTGACCTTTGGCACCATTTAAAATGGTTGAAATTGGCCCAAATTTTGGCAAACATGTTTTTTTACCAAACGTCATCGATTGCCGCCTGGGGAGCGGAACATTTCAGACTTTCATTTTTTTTGACGCACCCTAATGGCCACCGTTCCCTGCTCTCCACCACCTCTGAGAGTAGATCGATAATTATTATTATAGTTGCATATGCACATAGTATTAGTATAGTTATAGTATTGTATATAATTAGTTGGTGTATGCTTATGCATTGTGTGCGGCCTACACTGGAAACACCCCACAATGCAGTAAATGTTGTTTCTTTTAAAATAATTCTGGATTTCTTTTACTTTTTCTCGTGTGTGAAATATAAATGATGAAACTATATAAAACTTAAAATTATAATAAATTGGTCTTGTGTCAATAATGGAACATTCATTCATTGATTTCAATGATATGTTACGGGAAATTTTACGATTTTAAATTTGAAGAGTAGCAAAATTTCATGGAATTGTTTATCCTGTTCACGGGGTTGTTACGAAACCTTTCCGCGAGAGTGACTTGAACGCTGGGGCCGGAAAAAAGGAGAAGGTTTTTAGTATGGAAGTGCCGTTAGGAATGGGTGATATATAGGAACAATATTGGATATTACCCGGAAACTGTTGGTAATAGTATACAAATGTGCCATCGCTGAAGAGGAGCTCTAAAGTCACCACACCGTACAATGGTTTTATTTTACGAATGATTCATTTCAATCGTTAAGAAACAAATGTAAAAAAAATCTGTTTTTACGCAATTTTAGAAGCAACGTAGGTATTTTTAATTATGCCGGTACTTTTTTAAACGAATGTGTTCATGAATGGTTTTAAAAACAAGAAATTGGACAAAATATTGTACAAAATGTTGTTGGATGATAATATTTAAAAACACTTTTTGGCAGTAAGTCAAAACTTTATTACTTATTTTTACATACATTTCAAAGCTTTTTCCTTGACAATTTTAAGAAGTATTTTTTTTAAAATAATTAAAGTATGATTTAAAACTTCAATGTCTTTTAATAACTTTCAAAAATTTTAATTTTCGTTTTAAAATGATCAAGATTAACTTTGGCGCATGTTAAAATCTCATTAATTTGACTATGACCCGTCACCTATAGCTTTCCGAAGTCGGTTTCGATTTACTTTAATTTTTCTATTTTTCCATTTCGAGGAAACATTTGTGAAACATTTTCTAGTTTTTAGAGATATTTTAAACATGTCTTTTCAGTGTTGGTATGCTATTGGGGATAGGCTAAAGACGGACGCCTTTGCATCGAAATGGAGGCTCAAAATACCTTGCTCTGGGCGGATAATTCATGAATATACATTTCTATCGCTCGTATACCATCAAAGCTACTTCTCGGCGCTCAATTTGCCTACCTCACCATATGAAGGGGAATCACTGTACCGCATGCAATGAACTTTCCCCTACTCCCAATCAAACGTTCGAGCTCGTATATAGATGAGCGGGACCTCATATCTCTCATTTGAACCTCTAAGTCTCGAAATTTAACACCCCCACCCCCTCCCACCGGTGTGAAAGTGTACAGGCATTTTAAGAGCGTCTCTGAGGAGCCGATCTCCACTCCCTCGCCTATTCCCTGAATCTGCACAGGGATCTATGCGGGCGCCTTCCCTGGAAAGTTTATCTGGGCACTCTCTACTAAAATCTACATATTTTCCTGAGAAACTTTGACTGAAAAACACGTACATACACAATACACATATTTGCTGTAATCGCTCACACTTTGAAGAATCACTGGGAACTTTCCCGTTTATGTCCGGGAATTTTCACTTTCCGATTCCCGACACTTTACCCGAGAAAAAAATCATAGTTCGACCTCTTGCGCGCCAACCACGACCAATAATTATATTGTAGGTACAATGCGACTATAATTTTCTAGGGAAAGAAAAGAGATACCCAGTATAAAGAATACGATCTGACCTACCTGTGTGATTTACTCTCACTGAAACAGAGGAAATCCTAGATTGCACTTCTCGCATTCATTCAGCAAATCTGAAAAAAGAGAGGGAAAGAGATGAATATGATGATAGTTGCATGCGAGTGAAAATGAAGAAGCGTTGAAAGTGGAGACTTAAAACTTTAAGATGTTATTGAACTTTGATACGGTTTGAAATTTTCACCCGGGAAAATCTTACGGGGATGTGCTAGAATTGTTCATCAAAATCAAATTAAAAAGTCTGAGAATCGCGCGGAGATAACATTATATTTCAGTCCTTCGGTCAAGATTACAATTGGAACATATATGCCGACATATTACGCCCTCATATTACCCCCTCATATTACCGTTATGCATAACGAAAAATATTTGTAGACTATGAACGGGGCTCTCCGTCCAAATGCGAAATGTGCTTTCTCTCTCAACCCCCCCCCCCAAAAAAGCCCCAAAAGCAAAGTTTCTCTAGCTTTGTGAAACTCTGACCGGGAAATATGCATTGTCACATAAAACACAGTCAAAATTTGTGCAGTCGAATCAACCCTCCAGGACTTTTTACTCGAAAGCTTGTACTATCTTCAAGGAAAACCACGAGTTGAAAAAAATGTTCAGGTGTTTTCTGGTGTGTTTGATGTACATTTCCACCAGAATCGTAAATTTAATGTGTTTACTTAACCCAAGCTCCCCCTTTCACTTCGACCTGCAGGGGTTGACGGGCCCCTCTCCGTAGAGCTGCTCACGAAAAACTCTTCATCGGCAAACTACAACAGAATAGTGACACTGAAACTTACATGGATGAGAAAACACAGATCACTCTCACGCGGTGCAGAGATGATGGAACACGCGCATGAAACAATCTAGCGACGGTTAAATCGATGACGCACAAAAGTGTTTTTAGCCGAGCATCGTGGCAAGACTCGGGATCGTCGAATACGAAGTGATGCTGACAGATTCTGCCGGGAATTAAATCTCAACTTTCTCCTTCTATACCCCAGTCGGATACTTCCGAGTCCACGCGTTTATATAATCCCCCCTCCTCCCCCCAAGCCGGTCCCCATCGGTCCCACTGCCCCCCTTTTCGGCCCCCTCGGCTGAAACAACGTATCCGCGCGGGGTTTCCATTGGGTTCAGGCGGTTTTACGCGCTTCGCGCTGCACCAGGGAACCGTCTCATTCTCGCTATGGTGAAACTCTTACGCGGATTCTCCCCCAAATGCCGCATTTGGAAATTCGATTACCATATCTTCGAGTACGCTTGAAGAAGGATAATTTTTTGTTCCTTTGATCGTGGATGGTCTTAAAATGACGTCATAGTTTCAAGCAACGCTAAAATTACCCAAAATTTGACTCCAATAACAGGACTTCGATTTCCTTCTATGTATATGTAGACGGCGAAAATCATAGAGTGCGTATTTCCCTTGCAACGTTTCAAAATCTTCGATTATGTTGTTGTGTTCTCTTGGAGAGAAAACTGACCAAAATATACATTTCGACGGAGTAAGTTGGCAATCACATAACTCGGTTTGCAACGTCTCAGACTTCCTGTCATACTTTATTTTTCAAGCGGGAAACTGCTTAACGGCAATTCTTTAAAACTGCCGTGATATTTCTTCTCTGTGCGAAGGACATTCTGCAAAAACTTCAAGGAATTTTGAAACTTCAAGAAATTTGTTCTCTTTTAAAAACTGTAACATTGAGGCAAAAATTTTCAGACACCGTAAGCGAGATGTGTGATTGCGGGCCTGCGCCGTCGATTTGCGATATTCTGGGAATTTTTGCTGAAAAAAATAGATAAATAAATAAAAACACGGTGGTTGGTCATTACACCTTTTACGTGCCATTCTCGGGTTTTAAATACTGTCAGCTCGGAGGAAAATTTTCTGTTGGATCGATAGGAATTCCAATTAATAATGCCTGGACGAGAATTCTTGTTCAGTCCACAGAAAAAATCCGTGTTTCAAACTGCCTCTGTTCTTTCAAAGAGTCATCGTGTCATGTCACTTTAAAGAGATTTCCGGTCGACTCTAGTATCGGTCTGGCTAGACAGTTCTTGAGGTGCTGATACATTTTCGAGATCCCCGCCAACTAACCTGAAGTCCTCATTTATGTAGATTTTTCAAGTTTTGGGGGCCCCTAGAAGAAACCTGCCAGGGCCCTCTGAGCCACTCGTCAGAATTTTCAGGGTGTTGAAGCCTCCTAGCACCCTTGGCCAGACTATACCTGGTCAACTCAATGAGGATTCTCAGCCGGGATCAGGGCCGGATTAAGGGAGTGGCCACATGAGCCGCGGCCCATGGCGGCAAATCTAAGGGGCGGCAAAAGTTTGCAATTTTTTAAAGTGTAGGTATAAAAAAAATCGGATTTATAAAATCAAAATTAAAACGAGAAAAGGCGACGAAATCTCTCATTTCCTGAGAGTATCGTAACTTCTAATGTTGTCGTCTCTTAGTGATACAAGAGCCAGCACCTTTCATTAATCGAGTTAAGAGAGAAACCAAACACGCAATTTGGTCTAGAACAGCGCGACTTAAAGAGAAATGATAAGGAGGACTTGAGATGAAAAGGAGAAGCCCTCGGCGCGGCGATCGGCATGTAACACATATTAGCGCCTACAAGACTGCACGAGTACTTCACGCATTCCATCAAACACAGTGCGGTCATTGCGGTCAGCGTGAAACGGATAGCGCCCACAAGAATGCATGAATACTTCACGCATTGCGCTAAACACAGTGCGGTCTTCGTGAAACGCTTAGCGCCTACAAGACTGCGTGAATACTTCACGCATTGCGTCCAACACGGTGCGGTCTGCGCGGCGCGGCGGCGGAAGTTAAAATCATTGAACCACATTTATGTTTGTTCTTTCAGAATTTGTTCGTTCATTTCCTATGAATGGATGGCATTGTCCACACAGAGATAGGTTTACGGAACTTAACTTTCGCGCAAAGTTTCGTGAAGTTTTGCTAGTAGTGTTGACAGGGCTCTCCCAAAAAATGTGTTCAACACGAGTAAATGCGTCTTATGCATCCCTCCCCGGCTGGCACGTTCATTTGATGGTTTTTATCGAGTTTCAAAACGAATGAGAAGGGGGCGGCAAAATGTAGGCGGCCCATGGGCGGCAAGTAGGTGAATCCGGCCCTGGCCGGGATAGTTATCAACGGAAACAATTTTCTGAGTGGGATGAAAATGTAACTTTACGCCCTATCTTTGCACGTCTTTGGGTAAGGCCGCCTGGCTGCTCGCTTAGTACGTATGTCTTTGCTGCAGTATACTTTTTAAAGTGGGTACCTCAAAAATGGGTATAAATCTCACGTAGATTGTGATTAAGTTGAAAGTGAGTTTCACACCTCCCCGATGTGTTAATCATGATTTTTTCGTCATTCCTGCCACACACTGGTCTATTTCTCTTCTCATAACAAGATCATGCATGCTATTTTTTCATTTTATATGTATATTGCATTCTATCGTGCTTAGGAAAAACGCCGTATGAACATCCGAATGTTGCCAGATTTCTCTTCAGAAAACATTACTTTTTAAGGAAATATACGCATATTTTTCTCAGAAATTTTTAGATAGTGTAGATTAAATTGCAAATTAAACTCTCGGAAAAATTGGTAGGAAAATATCCATAAGTTTACATGAAAACTCGTATTTTATCAGATAAAATTTGGCAACGTCTGAAGATTTATGCGGCGTTTTTCCTTGGCACGGCAGCATTCTTTTATGAACTTATAAATTTTTGCAACTAAAATACTTTAGATAGGCATCGCTTGATGGACTGCATTTTGCAATTTGGAACTGTAAATTCTAGCCCGGTTTAAAAACAACGTATGTGCTATTAGTTTCCCTATGCACATAAGTGTTTTTCCAGAAGAGCAAAAACTTTTAATTCCAAATTGCAAAATGCAGTCCGATTGGTCTCCTTTTCTTTCTACGCATAGATTAACCAACGGTTTGCTACGCATTTGCCACCCTCAACCAATCAACATACACCGAGTAATTGCCTTGACAACGAAATAACAGCTGCAAGCTCAGTCGCCGTGTTTACATCGTGAGCCTTTACACAGTTTAATGGTTATTCCTCGGCACATTGATACACTATCTTATTGGTGCTTCTGTCACTCCTTCACCATCATTTCCCGCTGAATTGCTCCGGTCTGATTTCGAATTGATAAAAATTATTAGTTATCTAATTAGCATCCTTATCAGCTCATACTTTTAAAATGTCGGTCACAAGCAAAACTGGTCTTCTCTTGAGTGCGAAAACTCCAACATGCAAAAGAGTCAAGGTAGGTGCCTTTCAAAATCATCCTAGTCGTCAAATTTCAACAGAAATTCCCATTAAAAAGCCAATGGGGCTGAAACTGAAAAAATGCACAGGATCTGAGAGAAATTAAACTGCGCCCTCGCTGTGAGACCAAAAGTTGCGGTTTTAAAAAAAATCGAGCATTTGATTCGACTCAATGGTTCTAGAGATGTCACTTAATCCGTTCATGCACTTCATTCTGTACTTGAAACCTCGAATGAAGGAGGTAGATAGAAATGTTGTAGGAGCATCCCTTGTACATAAGGAAGACTCGATTTTAAACCCATGGTGATTGCATGGTGTTGTTAAAAAATAACCAAGTTACATGTCTAGTATCTTTGAAAGTACCATTAAATAATTCGACTTAAAAACAGCCCGATTGTATCTACCACACTTACCTAAATTTTCAGGGAAACCTCCGCCTGCCCCCCTATTCTATCGCAAGGCTGAAGAGGTTCTCCCAACCCCAGGTTAGGCAGAATCTCTCATCAATTGTCGTGATGAAAACGTCCATGTGCAAAGTTGTAATTTTCAAGACAACAGAATATTTAAAATCGTTCATTTGTACCAATGAATTTTGTGTTTACGTGTTTGACTATTCATAAGTTTGAATGAATTGCAGGAGCCGAAACCAATCGAGTTCAAAAACATCGCAACGCCAGCCCCATTCATGCTGCGGCCTTTTGCTGGACTTTACAATCCGTTCCCCTACGGCTGTTCCGTGCTCTGCAACCATCCAGCAGATTTCGAAGCAAAAGGCATTGTCAAAAGAGCGAAACTTGCCTGGGTGTGTAAACGCAATCCATATATGCTAATTCATCAAATTTGACGATGTCATGGTGCATGTATCTCTATGCAGAGACTAAAATCAGAGCTGGCGCCACTTTTAAGCATTTTCCAGGTCCCGAATTCCGAGACTTCTGTGTGACGCCGGGTCACTTTTTCGATACATAATCGATTATTTGCGATACACGGGTACCCGGCCATCCGATGTAAATAAAGAAGATAGGAATCACCACGTATTCCACACTGCCTTTTGGATCGAACATGTATCGAAAAAGTGACCCGGACTCGGCGCACACCGGGCTCGGAACTCGTCGAGCAGAACATGGCGCCAACTCTCCCATTTACATTGCGACTCTATGTACTCTACGCGTTTTCCCCTAGCAGGGCAGCATAGCCAAGATACTAGTGGAGAGTAGAGTCCCTATATAGGGAGAGTATAAAAACATGTCGAAAATTTTGAGGTTAGGTGATGGAGCTCTTAGACCACAAAAGGGTAAGCAATCTATAAATTCAAATTATCCAGAGTGATTTACAATCACAATTGTTGGGAACTGTCGTTGGTAAAACACGTATTTGACTTGGTTTTTGCATAAAATTACTCATTAATGCGGAAGAATGCCAAGAATTTTTTTGTCCATTTTCATTTGATATTGGAGTCTGAAGATTGACAGTGACACTTTTCGTTTTCAAAGGTTACCTACCCTTTTGGGCATAGAGTACATAGAGTCGTAATGTAAGTGGGAGAGCTGGCGCCACTTTTAAGCATTTTCCATGTCCCGAATTCCGAGACTCCTGTGTGACTTTTTCGATACATAATCGATTGTTTGCGATACACGGGTACCCGGCCATCCGATGACAACAACAACAACAACAACAACAAAGGAGATAGGAATTACCACGTATTCCACTACGCCATTTTGGATCGAAAATGTATCGAAAAAGCGACCCGAACTCGGCGCACACCGAGCTCGGAATTCGTCGAGCAGACCATGGCGCCAGCTCTCCCATTTACATTACGACTCTATGTACTCTATGCCTTTGGGCCCTAAGAGCTACATATTTGGAGTTGTCCATACTCTCCCTATATAGGTACTCTAGTGGAGGGTTTCTTATCTCTGGATGATGACTACGTGTTAAAGAGTCCGTTGTTTATGCGATCAGGCGCAGGAGTTGAAGGCCGGAGGTTTGGAGAGTCGTCGCCTGGAGAGGCTGGAGTCGGAGGGGGCGCTGAGGGCGCTGGGGGCGCTGGACTCGGGGGAGCTGGGCGCAGTCCCGGACGAGCTTTTCCGGCGCTACACGGACACGGACTCGCGCGCCGCGACGCCGGCCCCGACGACGACGAGCATGCTCACCGGCAGCGCCGGCGGCGACGTCCACGGAGGGCGACGCTGCGTCACCCCGGACCCGAGCCTCGACCCCGCTGCCCCCCAAGAGAGGACCTGCCTAGTCCTCGACCTCAGGCGCAGTCAAAGCCACGAAACGCTCACCTGGCCACAGGTAACCAATCACTATCATCACCTTCCGGCCTGAGTACACGGAGAAAAAACTTCGTGCGTGGGACCCGATGGATCTCTGGATGGTCATATGGATTTCTGAAGTTTTCGGATTGAGCATCTGAACACTTTCAGTCTAGCTGTCGAGGTTCGGATCACACATCTGAAACTTCAGTTCTTACACCTGAAGTACTTCAGATGTGAGAACCGAAGTTTTTCGAATGTGAGAACCGAAGTTTTTCGGATGTGAGAACCGAAGTTTCTCGGATGTGAAAACCGAAGTACTTCAGATACAAGAACAGAAGTTTGCAATGTTGTAGACTTCCGGTCGTCCTTTATATGTTACAGTTTTTTTTATCACATTTAAAGTTTCCGAATTTTGTCCGACTTCTTCTATTTACTCGATGCACTGTATGCCGGATACGAGTATCCCAAAACTGCTTTAAAAAAATATGCAAACTCTTCAGTTTGTGCATACAGGTGTGAAATTTTATCGCCGGAAAAATACGGAGAATACAGTTTACTCTAAACTTTACAATAAAACTTTTTTTTCACTTTTAAATTTTAACTTTACTTTTTGAACAAACTTCAAGGGGTTTGAATAAATGAATGCTGCTTACAGCAATCAAAACCACCCGGACTTCTCAAAAGAACTACTCAGATGTGAATGTTCCAGGAAAAATTTGAGCAGTCAGAAAAGGCAATGCGCTCTCAAACGAGGTCGCAGACGCCCAGCTCTCTGAGCAGCAAATCAAGAGTGAGCTCAAAAAAATCCAAAAAGAGCGCTCCGACAAAAGAAACTCCAGAAAAGGCCCCTCCGCAAAAAGCAGCCCCGGTTCCCGATGTCATTAAAGCTCACATTAAAATGGAGAATGATAAGGTAAGCTTCCCTCTTCCGAGATAGAATTTTTCAACGAAAAAATCGTCATATTTTGAATTGGACTGCATTTTGCAATTTGGAACTATAGCTTCTGGCTCTTCTGGAGAAACACTTATGTGCATAGAGAAACTAATGGCACATAAGTTGTTTTTAAACCGGGCTAGAATTTATAGTTCCAAATTGCAAGATGTAGTCCAATTTAAGTTGCGATTTTTTCACGATTCTTTGGCGATGAAATCGCTAGGATCATCGATATCTGAGCGATTATCCTCGATCTTGTCGCAATTTTATTTCTATAAAATCACGTGCAATAAAATCGGAATTTTACTTGAATTCGTCAATATTTTTTGTTCGATAATATTGCGATAAATCGCGATTTTATCGCAAATTTATGTGACGATTCCGAAATTCATCGCACTTATGTATCCGCTGATATTGCAATAAATCGATGTTCACGAAATCTCGATAGTTCTCTGATCAAATTGCAACTTATCGTGATCACTGCCTAGGATTATAAGATTAACTATCAGGAGGTTCAGTTGAACTACGATGACGCAATGCGTTAAAATTTCGAGAAAGATCTTGTAAATAGTATAAATCAAATATGGCATCGGTAGTGCATTGCATCAGTAAATTGTAATTTTTCAACATGAAATTTCTAAGTTTGAGCTGCAAATTGACGCATCGATGAACCGATATTACACAGCTTTACTGCCGTGCTAAGGAAAAACGCCGTCTGAGCCTTCAGGCGTTGCCAAATTTCCTTTAATAAATACCGAATTTAATGGGAACTTTGTGAATAATTTTCCCCAAAATTTTCAGACAATTAAGTACGCACTTTAATCAGAAATATCTGAAAATCTCAAAGAAAAATGTGCATGAATGTTGTCAAAAATACATACTTTGTCAAGGGAAATTTGGCAACTCTCGAATGTTCATACGGCGTTTTTCCTTAGCACGGAAGTATAGCCAATGGAAAAGTATCGATGGCAATCGCTCAATGCACTGATTCGCGCTCAGAGGATGTTCGTTCGCGTAAATGCAGAAGCCGCTCTAAAAATTTTAGCTCTAGTAGCGATGCGCAACGTCCCTGCCAAGTGAGTTGTTTTGTTGCAATGACCAAAAAAGAAATTAACCGCGGAGTAACGGTGGCAAGAAACCCTTCGGTCCTTATACAATTTTGTGTAAGCAGATCACCAGTGACTCGTAAAAACGCGATGCGTCCATCTCTGCATGGGAACGATATCCAGAACGCCTTCATTATTGTATTTATGCAACATGCACATCCTTGGAACATGAATAGTTGTATCAAAGGCGTTATTATCATCGTAGCGTCGCAGTTGTTAGCGGGAACAGTAGCTATATAGTAACGCTTTTTCGCATTCTACTTCCGTTTAGAACGCTATGACTCCGTCTTTCGTTATGTTACCATTATTCTGTATTTAGAAACAATATATTGACAACATTAACCATACCTGAACCTCATTTATAGTTGAACTCGCAGCTTCAGCTACCATCAACACCGACGAACAAAGATCAAGGAGGAGCCAGTGATAAGGAGGAAGAGGAAAGTCTGGTGAGGAGAAGAGGCAAGCCGCGAAAGAAACGTAACAAACACTCGCAAGGCGACATGTCATCAGAGTTAAATCAAGAATTCAAAGGGCTCGCTGAACCAGGAGAAACGCAGGTTATTGTAGTTAATATTATTTGGAAAGATACTTACAGAAAAAAATCTCATGGAATCCATTCCTGAATAGTTCCCATATTTTATGCCTTTATGATGTCATAAACGGTCACAAAGATCACATTTTCACTTTTTGCAAAGATTATAAACTGGAATGGACCGGGGAATCTAATGTTACATCAGGGGAGCAAACAGAAACAGAGGTGGAATTTGTCTCTGGGTGGAATGGAGGGAAGGAATCCAAAAATAAGTTAACCGATGATCGCGCAAAAAAGCTGTATGATAATATATCTGACCGTTTGTGCTATTATAAGACCGAAAATGTCTCTCCTGTAAAGTGACTCTATTCGATCCTCGCCGCAATCCATTTCCGGACCTACAAACTCTGAGATTTTACCTCTGTGATCTAGAAACTATAGCAGATAATACATTTCGATAACTATAGTCGACAAATGCGTTATCACAGATTACGGCGTTTTGGGTCCTCTCTCATGTCTTACTTTTATGGAAAACTAACCGACTGTTTCTACTGAAATTTTTCGTGGATTTCTTTCACTAATGGAGATGTCGCATGTGTGAGAAATTTGCGATTTAACTGTTGATTTTTTTGTAAAAGTTCGCAAGAAACACGATGGTGCCACTGGTTTTCTCTGAAATCAACTCCCAAGCTCAAAAAAAGCTCTCAAGTTGAGGCCAAAATTGAGGGGATATCCCACGCTATCCTGAGAGTCCACCTCTACATCAAAACCAACTCTCCATGCAAAGATAGGGAGCAGATACATTGACAGGGCTGCCACTTTATTTGTTGACTCTAAAACTGAAAATACGGCATCACTGCCAATGTAGTTGCTCCTTATCTTTGCATGAAGAGTTCGTCTTGATGTAGAGGTGGAATCTTAGGATAGCATGGGATATCTCCTCCATTTTGGCCTCTACTTGAGAGCTTTTTTTGAGCTTGGGAGTTGATTTCAGAGAAAACCAGTGGCACCATCGTGTTTTTCGCGAACTTTTACGTAAGAATCAATGGTCAAATCGTAATTCCTCACACATGCAACATCTCCATTTCCATTCTGTATAGAGTTTCCATGATCAGAATGAGTTCCTTGATCCGCGCATCTGACCCACTAAGCGCGCAGTTTGCCTGGAACTTTTCCGATCGGCTTGGACCGTCGCGTCGCGCGTCGCTCCAGACTTGGAACGAGCGAGTCCGTTCCGAATGAACACGTCCGCCGTCCGCTCACTCGGGGCCTTACAAAAGCTGAGTGGAGCAATTAGCATCGTTACTCGCCGTGGGAAAGTGGGACGAATCCGAATTTCGTCGCTCCTCTCACGTAAGGCCGTACCTCAATTTTCGCATGAACCCTGGATAGCATGGCTTTATATGTGAAACAGAGATCATGCGTAAATGGAGATACGCCGTTACGTCAGGGGAGCAACGATTTGACGTCATCCGGCGGGAGGTGAGCGCAAAGGTTCGCAGGAGGGAGCCTCCACTCGTCGATTAAAAAGACTCGACAATCGAAAAGGTTGCTACGAAAAGGGTCGATGGAGTAGATGATGGCAGGTGCCTTTTGGCAGCTTTTCAAAATTTGCAAATTATACAGGGTGTTCCAGGGTTAAGGCACCACCATAATGCGCCATAACCGTGCTCTATGGAAAAAAGTGTTAAATTATTCTTTTACAACCCAGATTTTTGAGGAACTATTGTTTTCACTAAATTTTGGCGCCGCTTCACGTCCACAACTCGTGAAGAATAGGTACCCGCTAGATTTTTAGAGCTGAATTCATCCATGACATTAAAAATATCGAAATCTTCAGTTAAAAGGTGATTTTATAGGGGTCTTGGCTCTTGGCTCTTTCAAGGCAAAGGAACTTAGTCCTCTTTCGCCCTCAGGTTTCCCATTTAATTTGGAATTTCAATATTTTTGTGACCCTGGATGGATTTTACTCTCAGCATAGTGGAAAAGAACTTTTTTACCAACGTTTTGTTCCATCGGTCCATAGCCGTCTCTAAAATTATGTAAAAATGATAGTTTTTCGAAAGCGGGAAGGGAGATCTTGCGGGGGAGAAAGACAGATTATTTGGACCCATAGATAACGTATCTGCAGTCTGCTTACTCAATCCTGGGATACCATGTATACGTAGTTTCTCCTTGCTGAATGCGATGTAAAAAGTTTAAGTTACTGAGTAAGCTACACCACTCCGCTTTCAGATACTTAGACGTTGGACATGATTTACTTTAAAGGACCACCCATTGCGGGCAAACTGATAACATCATATAACACACTCGTTCACAGCTGAACTTTCGTGTCTTCCGTGTCTTAAATAATTACTCTGAATTGAAATGCATTTGAGAAGAGATACTGCGAGATGACAGCAAGTGGTTTCTCGATTCACGATGGTGTTTCGTGTGGGGGAGGATATCCGTCATATCCTACACGGAGGGAGGAAAGAAGCCGTTAACTCCTGCCCAAATAAAGGCACCTTCATCGCGGCACGCTCGGACGCAATGTTGCCGATTTCATGCAATTATTCTTCCTCTCATGGACAGTTACGGATTGCTTAAAGACACCCTTTACAGGCCAGACAAACTATGGTGAACAGTCCGGGTATGTGGAATCTGTTGGTGCAAAAACAATGCTTTTTTACCTAAGGAATAATTATTTTTACTGGAAAAAAGTCTCCTGGATTTAGAGCCCAGACTTGTAAAAAATTTGATAAGAACAAATACTCTTGGTTCAATCGAATTTTTGCCTGAATCAAAAGGAAATCCGCTTAAATTGAGAGTCTTGGCTCTCGATTCAAGCGTAAATCCGAAAACATCAGGAGTATTTTTTATTGTCAAATTTTTGAAGAATCTTGATTCTGGATCAAAGAGACTTTTCTTCCAATGTTGGGTGAAAGACTTAAAGAAACTTGGATTGATCACCGATGATAAATTCATTATTTTGAATTGTACACGGAGAAAAAAACCTCGTGCGTGGGACCCGAAGTTAAGGTCATATGGATCTCTGAAGTTTTCGGATCGAGCATCTGAACACTTTAGGTGTAGCTGTCGAGGTTCGGATCACACATCTGAAACTTCAGTTCTTACATCTGAAGTACTTCAGATGTGAGAACCGAAGTTTTTTGGATGTGAGAACCGAAGTTTTTCGGATGTGAAAACCGAAGTACTTCAGATGTAAGAACTGAAGTTTCAGATGTGCGATCTAAACCTCAGTAGCTGGACCTACAGTGTTCAGATGCTCAGTCCGAAAACTTCAGAGATCCATACGACCTAAACTTCGGGTCCCACGCACGAAGTTTTTTTCTCCGTATGTAGGAGACTTCATTTGAAAAAAAAAAACAAATTCACTCAGTAAAATAAAATTTTCTTTCAAAAATAAGTAAAAATAAGCCCCAAAAACAATTATTTCAATCAGAGACGACCATTTTCTTAAACTTAAAACCGCTTTAAATTTATTTTCTAAAGTGCTCAGCAATCTCATACACGTTAGCCACTTAGTGTCGTCGAGTCATATCGAAGACGAGCTTGGAGGTGGCTCCGGTCCCGTTAGCGAGTTCTCAATTTCCACTGGAAGCTTCCACTGGTCGGTGCCTCTATTGTCTCAGGAGCCGGGTCTTGCTCTTTGGGCACGGCGAAAAAAGATCTGAAGGCGTCGGGGCGCGGGGGTCGCCGACTCCAGCGGCCTTGAAACCCACAGGGCGCGTCGCGACGCCTACGGGAGCCCCGAGCCCCTCGACCAAAGCGCCTCGACGCGCAGAGCCGACCCGCTCGAAAAGCTCCATTTTTGAATCGTTACCGAGCGACTTCAAACGATACTGGAGGGCTACGTCTCACAGTGGATCGAGTCTATTAAAGAGGTCTGACAGGAAATTTTTGACTAAAATTGCAAATTTTGGTGTTTCATTTTACATTTTATTCACATTCACATTTTACATTTTACATTTTTCATGCACATTTTACATTCCAAGGGGTGCTGTGGGAGGAAAACTTCACAAGAAAACCAATGGAATCACCTTTGGAACCTCAAAGTTTTGTACAAACGGAGTGATGAGCGTTGAAAGTTTCCAAATTTTGTCCGACCTTTCCTACTGACTCGACCTACAGTGCGTCCGCGTGTGTACCGCTCCGCGCCTCAAGCTTCCGAGGCGCTTCGAGGCTTTAGGGTACAAGTTTTCAAGACAATTAAGATTGTGGGATCTTGTTATAATGTTTATAAAATAATGAATCTACTTAAAAGAAATAGAAAACAAACAAATTGAAGAGGAGGGATATGATCTTTTACGTGAACTGCGAATTAGAGGGGGCACGGGACTGCCCTGACATTATGCATTTCTCCTTTAGACTTTATTTTAAAAAAGTATGATACGTATGTCAATGCTATGGATATAGATCAATCGATTCATTTAATTTGATGAATAATTTAACAAACGAAATGCAGCATTTAAGGCTGCCACGATTATATATTTGAATCGCTTCGAAGCGGCTAAGGCATGGGCAGAAATTCGAAATGAAATCTAATGGAATTTGGCTGCGGTAATCTCCTCGAGTTTTCAGGGCTGAGTATGCAACTCGCATCGATACAATTGACCCGAGAATCAGACAAATAGGGTATACTTCAGAAGAAAGCATGGATTTTTTATATAGTTTTCAATATTCGATGTAGGACTTTGCGGACTGCTTCGATGGACGTATTCTCACCCGAAATGATCAATATTTTCGAAAAAATATAAAATAATATACGACAAAAAATTATTGGACGTATCATAATTTTGATATTTTGAGGAAAAGCGGCAACTTTAATGATTGAGACTCACAACCAAGCAAAGCTGGGGAAAATCCGCGAGTCAACGGCAGAATTACACGGCGTGGAGGCCGGAGAAAACTTTAATAAAAAATGATGAGGACAACATTAAGACGGAGGAGTGAGGCCGTGTTCCGACTCCGAGTTCGCAACGAAGGTGAACTTGTGGAAGGACTCCAATAAAAATACACTGCAACGTGTACGCAGACTGCAGTCGAAATCATCCGTCCTCTATGACGTGAGAGCGTATCTCAATTTCC